GTAACACGGGCAGATGTTAGGCTAGACTTGACTCAAGTTGGGATCTCTGCGACGTTTCGTTTATGCTGACTCATATCGACGCTGCGCGCCGTCACTTGCTTCGCGCCCTCTTGTGTCCATTATGAGTTCAGTTCAGAAATCCCGACTTTACGAATCTGCCATTCGTTTGTACACACCGAATGGGCTCATCTACCAATAATGGTAGCAGCCACTCACCGTTGCCGGATTTGTTTTTACGTCGTTCATACCTGCACCGTAATCCGGTTCGTAAGTGTGACGTCGCTTCAGTTTAAACCACGTCCACAGCACAAGTGGCATAGGGTTACGTGCGTTACTGATCGCCGTTTATGTGGAACCATGGAACTGGAAGTTAACGCGCAGCTTCAGCGATTGCCTAATGAGAACCTGCAAATCGTGGCGCGTCCGCCTTTGTGACGAAGTCACTTACGAACCAGATGAACGAGTCTACAAGTCTAAGTAGTAGGTGTAGGAGAGTTCCAGATCAGCAGGGACTTTACCCTTTCTAGAGCAGAAGGGGTTTTCCCTAACCAGGGGGCTTTCCCCAAACCAGAACTCGGGAATTCCCCCGGGACTTATCTACTTCTCGAGAAAGTCGATCTGCCCCGAAGCTTTGAGAAAAAAATGAGATTAAATTTAAAAACCCTATATATAAAAAGAGACATTAATACGAAAACAAAATCACAACGTTACCCTATATTGGTGGACTTTCGGCGATTGAAGAAATCGTTTCTAGACGACTTTGTAAAAAAATATAACATTACATTACCGCCACCCCGTTAAAAAAGTCACGCCAAGCCGGAGCTCGTAAAAGCAATTCAAGCGAGTCAACGGCATTTTAGAAATCACACGAGACAATCGCACCATCAACTTTTAAAATCGCCTTTAAATTCTGAACTCGAGTCTACCATGAAAAATGTAGGCCAAGTCAGAGGCGATCTTTTGTAAATCTGTTTGACGGCCTCTGTTAATTCACTTCCCGTGTTAGTGCGCCCTCTCTCGCCCGCAAAAACATGCAGGGCATATACGATAGGTTGGTGATGCAGCATGCACATGGCGCTAGAAAACTGACCAAAATCTCCACCAAGATCTGCCTATTTGGGCCCGAGTGGCAGAAGAAGCTATCGCGGTCAGGTGTCGTAGCCGACTGTTACAGACAGCAAATAAACGTTGATAGTCCAATTGATGGTCACGTGTTGCCTGTTTCTGCGTCTGTGTGAAGTGGCTTAAAGCGCCCCCCTATAACTGGCCGTAGGAGCAGTTAACAGCCTCCGACGTTTGTTCGGCCGTTTTACTCGTCAATTGCTCGGCCTCTTTATATCTGAAACCCACGTCTACCACGGTTAAAGCGTACTTGTAGGTTTTACAATTTACTCCATCCCATGGTAGGTATAATAATATCCAATTGATGCGCCTGATTTGTGGTGACAAACTGTCGGTCTCGGCACGTAATTGGGAGCGGACAGATAAATTTGCCGAATGGCTTGATTCTTTAATCACGATTTCACGACCGACTTGTCCGCACTCATCTTTTGATGCAAGTGCTCGACGATGCTTTCACTTTTCCAATAGCCTTGGGGACAATAAAACAGTTTTGAACATCCTTTCTCCGTTTAGAATAAAGTTAAGCTAATCAATAGGCCAAGAATCCTACTAGGGCAGTCCCCCCTAAAATCCATATTAATTCTCTAAATTTTGATCTTCCGAAGGCACGTAGAAATCGGACAATTGGGTTCAGGCGGCAAGGGCGTAACCTGCTTGCCCGTCTATTCGGCGTAGGCGCGCAAAGCTTCGTCGACTTGACAAAAGTCTACTTGCTCGCGCGTTCCTGCCTCATACGCTCGTTTAAAAAGTCCAGCATGTGCACGCGATTTTTTCCCAGTCTTGTTTCGCTCGGTACAATTGTTCCAAAACTAAATCAGGTCTCTTTCTTTCCTTGTGTACTCTATTTTTAGCCAAGCTGCTAAATAAAAAAATGGAGCCCGTAATTGCCAATGCATTGATTATGGCTCCTCCTACCATCATTAAAACGCTTGCCGTTTTTAAAAATATGAACATTTTAAATTGAACACGGGTTGCGACATTATACACCAATTGGCAGAAGTCAAAGCCAATCAGACAAACATCGAGGGTATGTTGGGCGATATGCCAGCCGATATGGATCACCAGGGAGACATGTTTTTAGAGATTCAAGAGGGGCTGCCAGAAATGAGAAACGAAACATTTCACAAGTGCGATTTATTGTGCAAATATGAAGATATATTCTTTGCGGTGGGTTCATCACTGATGGCATTTTCTTTCCTGTTTAAGATTTTTACATAGGTTTAAAACATTTTTAAAAACCCCAATTATAAAATAGTTTATATTAAGAAAATGTCACAATACACGAAAAAAAAATTAACTGGAGCCGCAGGCTAAAAGTGCCTCGGGTCCTCAAGGCCAGAGAGACGCGAAGTCACAATCACAATAACCCGAGCACAATTGCGGCAGGCCATACGCTAAACGTAAATTTTCCTGCGTTAGGACAGGATTACGTAGTCCCCGGTACCGCCAAATTAGCTTTCACATTAGACTTGGAAGGGGCAAACGACGACAATTGAACCATGTATAACAACTTGGCAAGGAACCTAGTTGCAGAAATCAACGTACGTTTAGGCCTACAGGGCAATAAAATTGTCAATAATCGCGACGCAGACAAATTTCACAACTTTAAAGATTATTGGCTACCAAACTCGCAGGTTAAAAACATGGCCTATTTTGACTTGGCACGCGAAAACGTGGCAAAGTCGCATTTAGGGGCGGCCAATGCCAGTGCAGGCCTAAACGACGGCAAAGACAAGGCCATCGCCGACGCGTTTAAGAATACATACGCGATTGCGCTAGACGTTTCTCTTTTAACCGATCACGGGTCGTTTTTATCCGTTGGGTTTTAAAGAGCCTCTAACCGCAGAGTACAGGTTTT